TTCCAAAAAGACTGTACCTACCTGTCAGCATTCCTGCCAACAATGAGTGAGGATCTTTTTCTCCCCACATCCACACCAGCACTGGTTGTTCTTGTTCATTTATATGCGTGCCAGTCTCTGGCATGCGATGATGTCTCATTGTTGTTTTGATTTGCAGCTTCCTAATGATTCGTGATGTAGAGCATTTTTTCATGTGTGTTTTGGCCATTCAAATTTCTTCTTTGAGAAGTTTCTGTTCGAAGTTTCCTCAAAAAAAAATACAAATGGCCAAAAGGCACATGAAAAAATGCTCCACATCGCTAGCCATCAGGGAGATGCAAATCTTTAAACAGTCATCTGTGCTAGAGAGAGATTATGGGGAATATTGTCTGCCCTGGAGGCAGGGGGAGGGTGGGAAAGAGAGGGTATTACGGGGATATTGGTGGTGGAGAATGTGCACTGGTGGAGGGATGGGTGTTTGATCATTGTGTGATTGTAAACCAAACATGAAAACTTGTAACTGTCTCACGGTGATTCAATAAAGTTAAAAAAAGAGAGAGAGAAAGTTCCTGTTCATTTCTTCTCTCTATTTTTGATGGGATTGGGTGTATTTTCTTGTAAAGTTCTACCAGTGCCTTGTATATTTTTTTATATCAACCCCCTATCAGATAGGTACTGGGTAAAGTTTTTCCAATTCCATGGGCTGTCTTTGTATCTTGGTCACTATTTCTTTTGAAGTGTGGAAGCTTCTTAGTTTAAGATAGCCCCATTTGTTATTCTTTGCTTCCACTTACTTGGCCAGCAGTGTTTCATCTTTGAAGATGCCTTGAGCTTCAGTATTTAGAAGGGTTTTGCCTCTGTTTTCTTCCATGTACCTTATGGATTCAAGTCTAATGTTGAGGTCTTTAATCCACTTTGATCTGACTTTTGTGTGTAGTGTTAGGTACAGGTTAGAGTTCATTCTTTTGCATGTAGCTGTCCAGTTTTCCCAGCACCGCTTGTTAAAGAAGCTTTCCTTGCACCACTTCATATTTCTTGCTCCCTTGTCAAAGATTAGGTGATTGTATATATGAGGGTCAGTGCCAGGATATTCAACTCTATTCCATTGTTCTATAGGTCTGTCTTTAATACCAGGGTGTTTTAATTACTACCACTTTGAAATTGGGGAAGGTGATGTCTCCTATCTTCTTTTTCCCAAGGATTGCTTTAGCTATTCATGTGGGGTTATTGTTCCATATGAATTTCAGGATGTTTGATCAATTTCTTTGATAAATGCCATGAGTATCATTACAGGGATCACATTGAACCTGCATAGTGCTTTGAGGAGTATTGCCATTTTGACGATGTTAATTCTTCATATGAATGAGCGTGGTGTGTGTTTCCATTTCCTTGTATCCTCTCTTATTTCTTGAAGTAAAGTTTTATAGTTTTCCTTGTACAGATGCTTTGCCTCCTTAGTTAAGGTGATTCTGAGGTACTTGTTTTTTTGTGGCACAATTGTGAACAGTACTGTTTCTTTAACATCACTTTTTTCTCATTCACTATTTGCATATTGGAAAGCAATGAACTTTTGGGTATTGATTTTGTAACCTGCCACTCTACTATACAAATCTATTGTTTCTAGGAACTTTTTGGTAGAGACTTTAGGGTTATCTGAGTATAATATCATGTCAGCTGCAAGTAGTGAGAGCTTGACTTCTTCCTTCCCTATCTGGATGCCCTCAGTATCTTTTTCTTCCCTAATTGCTATGGCGAGTATATTGAATTGAAGTGTCGAGAGTGGACAACCTTTTTTTGTCCCCAATCTTAGGGGGAAGGCTTTTAGTTTTTACCCATTGAGAAAAATGCTTTCTGTGATTATGGTAGATGGCTTTGACTATATTAATGAAAGTTTCTTCGAATCCCATTTTGTTGAGAGTTTTCATCATAAACTGGTGCTGGATCTTGTCGAATGCTTTTTCTGCATCTATGATCATATATGATCATATGATTTTTATCTTCTTTAATTTATATGGTGTATTATGTTGATTGACTTGTGAGTGTCAAAACATACTTGCATCCCTGGGATGAATCCTACTTGGTCATGGTATATGATCTTTTTGATGGATCATTGGATTCTATTTGCTACTATTTTGTTGAGGATCTTTGCATCTGTGTTCATCAGGGATATCGGTCTGAAATTTTCTTTTTTTGTGAAATATACGTACTGCCGTATAAGTACCGCGCGCTAACCGATTGCGCCACTGGAGCTAGAGGGATAGCACAGCGGTAGGGCATTTGCCTTGCATGCAGCCAACATGGCCTACCCGAGTTCGATTCTCCGCCCCTCTCGGAGAGCCCGGCAAGCTACCGAGAGTATCTCGCCCACACAGCAGAGCCTGGCAAGCTCCCCGTGATGTATTCGATATGCCAAACACAGTAACAACAAAGTCTCCAATGGAGACGTTACTGGGCCCGCTCGAGCAAATCGATGATCAACGGGAGGGCCTTTACTTTACTTTACTTGTGAAATATCTGTCTGCTTTGGGTATCAGGATGATATTTGCCTCATAAGAACTCTTTGGGAGTGTTTCTGTTTCTTCAGTTTCCTGGAAAAGCTTGAAAATGATTGAAAACAGGTCCTCATTAAAGAGTTGAAAGAATTCACTAGTGAATCTATCTGGCCTGTTTTTTTGGGGGGGTGGGGGGACTTTTGATTACCATTTCAATTTCCTCAATGGTAATAGGTCTGTGCAGGTACTCCAAATCTTCTTGGTTCAGCCTTGGGAGGTTATAAGAATCCAGGAATTTGTCCATTTCTTCAAGGTTCTCTTGTTTTGTGCCATAAAATTTTCAAAGTAATCTCTGATAATCTATAGATTTCTGCAGTTTCTGTTGGGACTGTTGTGATGTCCCTCTTTTCATTTCTGATTCAGTTTTTTAGGGTTCTCTCTCTGTGTTTCTTCGTGAGTCTTGCAAGTTGTTTAATGAAACAAGGAAAAAAAGTTTTCCTCAAACAACCAGCTCTTAATTTTGTTGATCTTTTGGATTGTTTTCCGTTTTTTTTTTTTCCGTTCTCCTGCCTGTTCAGGCTCCTTTCGTTGGTTGTTTTCCAAGATCTTAAGCTGTGAGGTTAAGTTATTGATATAGGCCCTTTCTTCTTTCCTGATGAATGCTTGCAGAACTATAAATTTTCATCTTAACATTGCTTTTACTGTCTCCCACAAGTTCTGGTAGCTTGTGTCCTCATTCTCATTTGTTTCCAGGAGTCTTTCGATTTCCTCTTTGATTTCCTCTCTAACCCACCAGTTCTTCAGTAGTGAGCTGTTTACTTTCCAGGTGTTTGATTTGATTCTCCCTTTCTCTGTGTGATTCATTTCTATTTTCAGTGCATCATGATCTGAAAGAAGAGTTGATATAATTTCTATCCTCTTAATTTTATGGATGTATGTTTTGTGTCCCAGCATGTGGTCTATCTTGAAAGGCACAACTTCATGACTTTTTGTGCCTCCATTTTCTGATTTATAAAACAGGGACTAAACTCAATAGTGTTGATTTCAAAGGCAACAACTAAAAGTCAGTATGAGTTCTTCTGTGCTCTTATTTACACATCGCAATTCATTTTTTTATTTTTAGTTTTTATTGTAGGTTACAATAGTGTTAATTTCAAAGCTTCTGAAAAAGTTGCTGAACCTTCCTACCACCAAAATGTCTAAGACCCTCCACCACTGTCTTTAAGTCACTTCAGTCTTCTTCTCCCATCCCCCCAAATGCTTCATAATCTCATTTTTGTAATCAGAAGCCAAAGTTTTGTCATTTATTAGATATTGTCCATTCCCTTATTTTATTCTGTATGTACTACAGATAAATGAGGTTATCTAGTATTTGTCCTTCTCCCTCTTACATATTTTGCTTAACAGCATGTCCTCCATTTCATCCAAGTTGAAGCCAACTGCAAGTTTTATTTTTTTTCCTCAGAGCTGCATAGTATTCCATGTGTACATATGCCATAACTTCTTTATCTATTCATCTGTTCTTGGACTTTTGAGTTGTTTCCATATCCTGACTATTGTACTAAGCACTGCAGTGAACATAAGTGTACATATATTTTTTTGAGTTAATGTTTTTGTGTTCTTGCGGTAGCTGCCAAGAACAATCCAAAACTTCTAAGTGTACAATCCATCTATGCTCAGTATGAGCATCACCTGCCGTATGGTCATTGCCACAACTTGCAGAACATTTTCACTATTTCCAAACAAAAAAACCTCTATACTCATTAGCAATCACTACCATCATGCCCCCTCCCCAGCTCAGTCAGCCACTATTACCTCTGTCTATTTGTTTGTCTATTCTACATAGTTCATATATTCCACTAAAAAAGGAGCCACACAATGTTAATCGTCTGTCTGTCTTCTTTTTCTAAGTTTGATGTCTTCAGGGTTTATTGATGTTGCAGCCTGTCAGAACTTTATTTATAAAAAGGAAGAATGACTATGACTAAAAAAAATTCCATTGTATGGATAACCCACATTTTGTTTTCCCATAAATCAGAGACTGGAACTTTGTACTGTTTTCACTATAGATATTATGAATAATCTCAAAATGATTTTAGAAACTGCAACACTACCATTCCATGGTCAGAAATAATCATATTAGTTAAAAAGCGCCTTGATGTGTGACAAGAAATTAGAACCATTTCAGTTTGGTATAGAATAACTATGCAGATGCATGGGTTTGCATAGTAAGCTGGGTGAGAAATAAAAAATTGGGTGTCTTGAGTAGTATTGAATACTCTGGCTAACAGACATGATTCGGGGAAAATTATAATCTGTTTTCTGGTCTCAGAAAAATTTCAGTCTGGTGAAAGATGTGGTGGGGATCACAGATGATGGTATGCTATGAGATTATGTAGACATTTCCTCTGAGATTGGAAAGGGTGTTCTACTTCATGGGGAAGGTATGCAAGATTAGAGGGGGATGGGTCCTTTATGGGAAAGGTATGCCTGTCTTTTGACCCTGTCATCACTCTGTCTCTTACTTAGCATGGTGAGACACAAGGACGATGACTGTTCTGAGGAAAAGGATGTGAAGACCTGTCCTCGAGATTCTGGCTATGACAGCCTCTCAAGCAGGCTCAGCATTTTGGATCGGCTTCTCCACACCCATCCCATTTGGCTACAGCTGAGTCTGAGTGAGGAGGAGGCGGCAGAAGTTCTAAAGTCCCAACCTCCCGGGGTAAGACTCAGAAACTCGGAGAACAGACTGAGTCAGGCAAGGCTGATGCTTCCTTTGAGAGATTTGGAACTCCAGGGAGTTCTCCCCAGCACATAGGGAGCGTGGATCCCAGTCTGTACTGGGGTTACAATGAGGTAAGATTCTGGAAACTATGAAGCAGGTCCCAGAGCAAAGCCCTTTGTTATTTGTCCTTCACAACCTGTCCATTTGCCATGGAGGAGGCGAAAGTGTCCTGGACTCAGGATAATGCAGCATCTGGGTAATGAGGAAGGGCCAATGGCCAGAGCCTTGACTGGACTTATTGATACCAGAATTGGGAGTGAGCCTGATTGTGGGGTCCTTGGTTGCCCCTACTGTATTACGTTTCAGTTTGAGCCTTAGAAACTCTCCAGGGGCCAGCATCTAAACTGGGTCCATCCTTCAAAAATTTAGCCATAGAATTCTCAAATCTAACTGATGGTATTTTCTTTTTCTTGAGCTTTTTCAGTGACTGTGCAGGGTTCAAAATCCTCATTCATTTCTTCGTCTGTTGCCTACCCAAAACCAGTCTCATCTTCATCAAGACCACTCCACAACTTTATACACTTCCTCCCGTAGCACTGTCCTCCCGTTGTTCATAGATTTGCTCGAGCAGGAACTAGTAACGTCTCACAACAAATTGTGAGACCTTGTTACTGTTTTTGGCATATTGAATACATCACGGGTAGCTTGCCAGGCTCTGCCATGTGGGAAAGATACTCTCGGTAGCTTGCCAGGCTCTCCGAGAGGGGAGGACGAATCAAACTCGGATCAGCCGCGTGCAAGGCAAGTGCCCTACCCGTTGTGCTATCGCTCCAGACCAACTTTATACAAGTTCCTCAAATTTTTTTAATTCAGTTTTTAGCATATCTTATGTTATCCACTATGGTAGCCACACACCCTCCAGGAAACTATTTAAACTGAGTAAGTTAGAGAAAAATAAACTTTTAATTGGGTTTCTTGGTCGCACTAGCCACAATTCAGCTGAGGAGTTACCATACTGGATGGCACGTAGTATAGAACATTTTCATCATCACAAAAAGTTTTGTTAGACAATACTTCGAGTATTATCTCTACTCCAAAAACAAAAAGTAGAGGCAGGGGATGTAGGCAAAAATAGAACACTTGCCTTGCATGGGTGAAGCTCTGGATTAGAGGCAGGCACAAAAAAAAAAAAACCAGGATAAATACAGGCTATAGAGTGGTGAAGTTCTTGCCTTGACAGATTAATTAATCTGTGGCCCTGCCACAAATTAAATCTCCAGCACCATATAGGGTCTCCTGAGCCCCACCAGGAGTGAACCCTAAGCACAGAGCCAGAAGAAAGCCCCAGGCACAGTTGGGTATGGCCCAACACCATCACCCTCAAAAAAAAGGATGAATAAAATTAGTTATGGATGAAATTCAAATTGAAACAACATCCAACAAGGAATAAAAACTAAGAAATGGATGGAGGAGCAAAGGAAAAATTCCATCAGTAGCCCACAGAATAATTTTGTAACAATTGGGCCCCCAAACAAACATTTCTTATCAGCCAGAGCTTATCTGTTATCACTTTTTTACTTATGAGTGAGTCTTTGTTTCTCATATGACAAACAGACTGGACCAGGACCTCTGTTGGAACATATGCAGGGTGACTTGGAACAATGTTTGATCATCCCTGGAGAATTCCTTGGCCAGCCTGCCGAGTTGTTGCCTCTGGTTTTTGTCTCTATGATGAGAACCTCCTCCTGTGAGACCCTACTTTTTTGCAGGTTGTCTGTCTGCTTCTGTATATCTGCAGAGGATGCTGCAGCAGGACTTTGTCATGTGTCTAAACAGTTCTCTACTTTCCTGACTTCACTCCTGCTATCCTGAATGTCCCTTCCTGCCAAGACATCCTGGAGAACCAGTCAGGAGTGATGTTTTCCCTTCCTGACTGATCTCTGGACAGGACACCTGGCACAATGGGCAGTCTGAGGAAAGTGTGACGCCAGAAGCAACATGAATCTGGGCTCTAAAAGGAAAAGTGACAGAATCAGGGAGAAGGAAAGCAGTGGACTGAGTGTGTATGAGGAGAGGAAGTTGGAAAGACGGTCTCTGGTAGCATGAGTCCTCTTTTGGGTTGGTAAATGACACAGTCTTTACACAACTGCCAGTCTCTGCCACTGAAGTGCCGACACAACCTTAAACAAAATGTAAATATGAGAGTGCAGCTGTGTTCAAGAAAACTTTATTTTGTTTTTGTATTGGGGCCACAAACAATGGTGTTCAGGCATTACTCTGGCTCGGCACTCAGGAATCACTCCTGGCAGGCACGGGGTGCCATGAATGGGACCCAGGTGTTAAGCAAGTGCCTTGTCCACTCTCCTTTCTCTCCAGCCCCAAGAAAGCTTTATTAATAAAAATAGCTGGAAGGATTTGGTCTCTAGTCATTACTTTTTTAGGCTTCTGGTATTAAGACCATAGATATTCAGGAAATAAGACTCAAAGTTGTATTCTCCTCCCCTTCCAGGCCCAAGCAAATCCCAATCTGTTTAAGAAAGTGGTACTTCTTCCCAGCCAACCAGCAGTTACCTCCCAGCAGTGTGTTGGGCTTTTATCAACAGGCTAGTACTTAGGAAACATCTGTTTCAGGGTACATCAGAGACACTAAGTCCCAGAATGGGTCGCTTGATGAGTTTCATAACTGCCCCCTCAGGGGTGCTGGAGGAAAAAGAACTCCAAGGTCTACTTTCCTGTCTGACTCTTTTCCCAAACACCCAATTACCATGATATTTGAACATCCCCAAAAGAGTTATTGACTGGACACAGGGGAAGGAATGATGATTGGGAAAGCTAAAGATAGGTAGAGAAGTGGAGAGCAAGGTGTCCAAATGCAAAGGCAAAAGAAGAAACAGGACAGGATCCTTGGAGGAGGGTCATGGGCTATGGAAGGTAACCTGGTTTCAGCCAGTCTTCTGCAGTGTACACTCCAGAGATCATCATTCGATTTGTAGTGTTGTAATTGGTGCCCCCTGGAATGATTCATTGACCAGAATGGCATTCTGAGATCAACACTGGGCTTGGCTAGTTTAAAGCACAGGTCTTAACACAGGATTGCAGTCTGGAGGCAGCTGTCAAAAAGTGAGATGAGTTGGGAGGAAATAGACTTGACGTTTACAGCTTTCGTGTAAGCTGTAGAGAACCTCAAAACACATCAGCCTGCCTTGAACATGAAGCTTCTATTTTTCATCACCAGTACATTGTTGTCATGCCTGATCTTGCCAAATCATGTCATTTTAAAGCAGAACTAGACATTTAGGCTTTAGAAACAACAAATTTAAGTTTCTGTCCCAGCCAATCCATGAACCAGATTAGCCAGTGACTTGCAAAGCAGTCATCTATGATTTAGTGATAGGTGTTTAGAACCTGTGCTTAGTTACCTGTGTTTAGAACTTAGATTTCCTCAATCAAATTATTCATATAAGACAGTGAGGTAGAGTCCATGGAATAGGAGCTTATAAGTCAATCACCAAACTGAAAATGATCACATACACGAATGGAACTCATACTCTTGAGGGAGAAGTTCTATTAAAGTAAAATCACTACTGTTTTGGGGCTGGAGAGATAGTACCCTGAGGAGGGCACTTGACTTGCCTGCAGTCTCTCTGGGTTTGATCCCCATCACAACCTAGAATCCCCTGAGCCTGCTAGGAGTGATTCCTAGAGCCAGAATGAAACCCTGAGCACTGCCAAGAGCGGCCAAAAATCAAATTATCATTGATCTGAAGCCAGCTAAAAGAAAGTGATCCATCCATGGCTTTTTTCTTGGTGCCTCTTTACTTGGAGTCTTGCAGTTGAGCTGCAAAGAAATTTCGAATTGTGCAGGTTGGATGAGTGAAAATTGTCTGCCCAGGTTCTGGTCTATTAGATGTTTCTTAAACTTGTTTTTCTTTCCCTTCACTAGATCTTCCTGGTTCGTAAATCTACCAAAATGCAGAAGAAAGTCCTCTCCCTTCGCCTGCCCTGTGAATTTGGAAGCCCCCTCAAGGAATTTACCATAAAGGAAAGCACCTACAGTAAGTGGTCATTGGATGTCCAGGTCCTGGTTGACAGGGCTTTGGTCTCCTGAGCCTGTGGAAGTAGAAATAGCCTTGAGATGAAAACAGTCGGCATAGTCTGGCACTGCCTCCTATTCACTGAACGGCTTACTTGATGGACTTTGGTTTTTCAGGTGTATAATGGAGCAACAGCAACCTCAGAGTTACAGTTTAGTTGAACAACCTATATGCAATGTATCCTTGGCAGATGGCAAGGCTAATACAGGCAACTTCTCACTCCCTTCCCAGTTAAGTAGAGCCCAGCTCCCAAGCTTGCTGATGACTAAGCTGCAAGGCAGGCTGCTGTGATTCAGCCTTTTAATGCTAAAATCCTGTGTCTGCACTTCTTGTGGATAATGCTAGGGCAGACGTGTTTCCATGTGTTCCCTCCGGACAATCACTGTTCAGTCTTCTATCAAATGCGCTAATCACAGGCAGAATCTAGGCCTTTGGAAAAAGTTAGCTGCCTAAAGTTTTGAAGGGAGGGGAATGCTCAGTAGCACTGGTTTTCTTTCTGCGATTCCATGCTTCCAGAAATGTAGTCTCAGGAGGCCAAGTTTTAAGTAAAAAAGGGAACACTCAGTTCTGCTGGGCTGCCAGCCTTCAACAAAGGTTAGGAAGTTGGATATGCATCCCAAAGGTGAAGGGATCATTAAAATCACAGGTTAGTGAGAAAAAACATTAAGGTAAATTTGGGAGCCCTCAACTTTCTCAATAATAAAACCAAGACCAGGAATCTCACTTACTCCCAATTTCAGACTACTTAAGCCTCAGTCCCTGCATGTGAAGGAATGTATTGTATTGAGACCAATTTCAGGGCAGACAGGGAGGGGTAGGATGGGAGATAGTTACTTAGCTTAGTATATAGGCACAATCTGGCTGGGCCATATCACCTTTAACTCAGGCTAGAGGTGACTTTTCTGACAAACGTGACACCAACCAGCCTTTCAGTGACCAGCCTCTGATCAACCTCAGACACGAACCTGCATCCTGAGATGTTCTTCCTCCAAGAATTCCAAGGTCTCTGAGGCCAAGGAAACATTTCTACTTGTAAAGACATGAGTAGCCATTGAACTGGCAAGTGATTTATACCAGTTTATTTACATTAGGAGGCAATCTGATTATAGATTCCAAAATGACTATTTTAAAGATAGTGAATTAAATAACAGAAGTGAGGGAAAAGGGTAATTCTGAGTTGCCTTATGAAAGCCTGTTAGCCAAGAAGGACTTGAACTGACTTGTTTGTAAATCTCTTATAATACCCAACCATAACTAGTTAGCCTGGAAGCTGCTTCCTTTCCTTCTCCAAGTACAGCTGCCTTTACAAAACCTTCCTAAGTATGCATGTGTGCCTGTTGGGTCTCATCTCCTGGGAGTTTTTCATCCCTATTTTGCCAAGGCCTCTAGCACTTCCCCAATCCTCCCCACTTCAGTTAACATAGTTGAAAGAGCTGGTGTGACAAAGGAGTCAACCTGACCTTTCAGCACACCCCCACACTGGCTCACCAGAATGGCCCCTTCTGAGTGAGTTGGGAGAAGAAACATTTGGACCAGAAGGCATACAGACGTTCTGTGTCTGGATGAAGTGTTTTAACATGCTGACACTGTGATTTGGTTTCTCACCCTCCTGAGGCTTCATTAGAGTGCTCCATTTTGTCAGACAGTAACAAATGAAAGTGCAACAAGAAGTTTTAGCAACAGGAACTATGTTTGCTGGCATAGTCTGTCTGATGATGCCCAAGTGTGAGATTTGGTGGTAGGTGCGAGCAATGGGACATCCAAGAGTGAGCCACCGGGGGTATGTGCTCTCATCATCTTTGATCATAAATACCACTTCCTATTTTATGCACTACTGTCACATAACTGATTCCAGTTTTTATTTTATTATTATTAGAGGTGTGGATTGAGCCAGATATGACAGAGCTTAAAGCTGTTCCTGGCTTGGGGGTTTCTCCTGGCAGCACTCAGGAATATGAGATACTGGAGATCAAACCAGGGTTGGCTGCATGCAAGTTATGTACCTTACTCCCTGTATTGTCTTTCTAGATTTCATCCCAGTTTTTTAAATTTTTGTTCCCACTGTTACCCCATGGGGACAAAAGAAATACTATAATTGTCCATTTTACAGATAATAAAGATTAAGATGCTAAACTTCCCCCACATTGGCTCCCTCTTAACTCATCAATTTGTGGTTTGTGTTTGTGTGTGTGTGATTTTCTATTTTTTAGAATGAATGTTGTGTGTGTGTGTGTGTGTGTGTGTGTGTGTGTGTGTGTGTGTGTAGAGAGAGATGATGATTGGTGACACATGCCTAAAGCCATGGAAATGTTCTATCGCTTGTATCACTTGTCATCCCATTGCTCATTATCAATTTGCTCGAGCGGGCACCAGTAATGTCTCCATTCATCCCTGTCGCATGCTAGTGTATCCCAATGGCCTCTGCTCGCTCCAGGAACACGAAGAGCATCAAACCATTCATTCAGGGTCTTGACAAAGAAGTCTGACCATCTCGTAGGTGGGCGGCCAGGTGTTCTTTTGACATCCTGTGGAATCCAGTTGGTAATGGCTCTAGTCCAGCGGTGGTTTCCAAATTGCATTATGTGTCCGGCCCATCTGATTTTCGACACCTTGGCAAACAAGACAATGTCCCGGACGCTGAAATGTTATATAAGCAAAATAATACAAACAAAACAAAATAAGTAAAAGTATGGTGTGTTAAACGCCCCCTCATGCACATAAGTAAATGAATATAAGGGAAATTTTATGATTAAGGAAATGAGGATTCATTCATAAAGCTGAGGGTACTTAGTATATTTTTGTTGCATCGTGTGCCAGGATCTATTTTTATGATGTTTTATGGTTTGTTTGTTTTGTTTTGGTGCCAGGGATTGAATCCAGGGTCTCCCACAGGCAAGACAAATGCTCTACCAATGAGCTGTATCCCTGTGCCATTTAGAATATTTCTGGAAGAGGGACTAGAGAGATAATACAGATGGCAAACTGCTTGCCTTGTACATGGCCCATCTAAATTCAATCCCTGGCACCCCAGGAATGATCCCTGAGCACCATTCAGTATAACCCCCTTCCTCCCAAGAAAAGAATATTTCTGGAAGAATGTCTACATAAGTAGTATTTTGGTTGAGAAGGTGTGGCAGGTAAGTAGTTAATGATTATATATTTATAGTCAAGCCACTCCTGTCCCCCCATTGGTAATATGTACATAATTGCACGCCATCTTGATGGAACATTTCTTCTCCTTTGGTGAAACCTGTGCATTTGAGACGTGTGGGGCATTCTGGAATTTGACAGTTCTTCCTCTAGGAGGCGGGAGAGATCATGCAGCAGCTGCTTCCCTCGCATGGTTCTCTCCCTGCACTCTATATGCTCTTGAGCAGTACCAGGAGTGATCCACAGAGCCAGGAATAGGCCTTGAGCAATTCTTCATACTGAAATTAACCAAAAGTTGGTACATGGGAATGTGTTTGTGCTCCAATCTTTGTGCTCCCCTTCTCCCTTCTGTCTTTTTCAGAAGAGTTCAGGTTTGGCAAGGAGGAGTGTAGTTCAGGAGACTTATTCAGGGAGAGTCAAGAATGATGAGGTTTTGGTGTCTTCAAACCCTGTCCTGTGTTGATGGCCTCTCTCTAGCCACTTGGGCTTTTTGACCCCTGCCCAACTTATGGTCTAGCAAAAAAAAAAAAGTTGTTGTGCAATTCCAGCCTGCTCTGGTCTGTTTACCAAGCACTGGAGCATGTGCTCCCAGTGACTCAGGGGCTGGACTCCACGGCCATCCACTATTTACTGGTCTCTTCCTGACTCCCTCCATCCTCCTCCCAGCTGGTTCTAATAAGTAGCACTGTAGTTTCCAGCTTGGAGACAGTCCCTACAAGAAGCACAGACTACCTGAATGGGCCTTCCCTTGCCCAGAACACACTCAGCAACACTCAGCTGGTTTCCCAAATCTCTTTTCTAGCCTTTTCCCTGGAAGGCTCTGGAATCAGTTTCGCGGATTTATTCCGGCTCGTTGCATTCTACTGCATCAGCAGGTAAGACCTCTTTGTCTCTTACAATTTTAAGAACCTGGCTGAATGTGCAATATAATCAGGGCAGAGGGGTAGGTAAGGTTTGTCATATTCTGTCTTGAAAGGACCAAGAATTAACTCTTTTGTTTATGTAACTGATAAGATGGTCACTGAGTCCCACATGCCAAGATTAAGATCAAGCTTCCCAGGCCCCTGGAAGTGTAATTTCTCATGCTTCCAAGCTGTGGAAGATGAAGGGTACTCACCCAACACCCTTCATCTCACCTCATCAGGCAGAAACCTCGCACACTCCCCTGTACATCTGTGCAATCATGCACACACAGAACGGGGCCTGTGGCGTAAACCCAGAACACTGAATGTTCCCTATTGGTACTTTGGAAAACTCTCCAGGATATGCAGTGTCATCTGCAACTGCGGCTTCCTTTAACCTGCCTAGAAAGTCCTACCTCCCTGCTCTTGGGTCCACTGGGCAGTCTCCTGCCCTCTGCTTGACTATTGTGACCACTTCAGTCTACACACAGTAAACCACTAATCACAATGATACCAAAAATACGTGAAGTTTAAGTTATGGAAGGCTTTCTCTTTTCTGTTTCTTTCTGTTTCTTTTCTTTGTAGACTTCACAGTGTTTCCATCCAAGTCCTTTGCAGTGCTGGGAAGCCCTTCCTGCAGCATTAATTCCTGTCTCTGCTCCCCAGACCCCTCTGCATTGCTGACCATAGAGCAGAGGCCAATAAAATTATGGAGGCCATTTAATTTTATTTTCAATTTATTTTATTTTTAAATCTAGACACCATGCTTTCCTTCATTGTTTACTGTAGGTTTTCAGGCATACACGGTTCCCACCTCCAACTCCACCATCCCTTATCCTTCCACCACTGACTAATCCCCCACAACCCAACTTCTTGACAGATACGTCTTTTAAGTTTAATTGTTGGATTCGGGCCCCATCCTCCAGGTAGTGTGGATCCTGTGGTTTAGATACATACAGATTCTTTGCCTCCATACCTTAGAGGGGTCTTGGGCACTAGGGTCACTTCTCACAGCCATCATTCTCAAGTAGAGGAGTCTATTTGGATTTGTGTTATTTTCTTTTAAGTTAAGGATTTGGTTGTTTCTCAGGATCTGAATTAGACCTGTTGCTCTGTTGAGTTATCCTTCAGGGCACAGGCACTAAGCTATTTCAACACTCCCTAGTGGGTCAGAGGTAAAGTTGGTCCATATATACTCTTCACAATTTGCTTTTTAGTGATGATTGTGTGACTGTTGTGAAAGACCTTATTTGGCCTCAGCTCACCAAAGATACCATCTCTTTCCCCTCAGTGTTCACAATAGAGTGGAATATCTGCGGTCTGGGATTGTTTGATGATTGAAGAAGATATAGTACCTGAAAGTCCTTTGTAAATTACAAAGCATGATACCAATATAATGTGCTTATAGAATAATCCACTGTGAACATTTTGCGACTAAGACCTGATTCATTTCCCCCTTTCCTTTTTTTTTGTTTTTGCTTTTTATCCCCTTCAGAATTCAAAGGTTTTTCATGTTTTTGTTGCTTCTTTTTGTACTACATATCACACGTTGCTGACAATCTGTGTTTGAATTATTAGTTGTTGATTTAACCAAATCTTATCAAAGAGAGTTTTGAAATCTGTCAGTTGATTCTTAGTATATAAATATGTGCAGACAGACAGTGATTCAGGTTGACAACTCTGGTATCTACACTCACAGAATGCATATGCAAATTGGCAGTGGATGAGAGAATAATGCATCGATTAGCATATGATTTGCCACATCAAGAAAGTACATGGAAAAGTACAACTAAGAGTACTGATAGTTATGCAAACCTTGGTTTCCAATGTGCAGTAGCTCTATCAATTTAGTAGAAGCAGTGAAGCGCAGAGGACCTTTTTTCAAATGTCACTGTGCTGGACAGTCCATGGGTTTTTGTTAATGCTCATCAGTGAGTCTGGAGTGGCACCCTTGAGTCTGTGGCTCAGTTTCCAGCTGGTTTTGTTGCTGCTGATGCTCCAATTATACCCTGAGTATCAATCAAAGAATTAGAGGAAATAATAAGAATTATAGTTCTATGAGAGGAGAGTCTGAATCTGTGCTAGGCACTGTCCATGCATAATTTTTAACCCTTATAGCAATGCTGAGATTAGAGAATCATGAAGACACTGGCTCAGAGAGAGCGTGTACATCATTAAAGATGTGTACATCATTAAATAGCAAGTATAGGACCTGAATTGCCTTGACCTCAAAGCCCTTATTGTCTGCTACCCTATAAAGCTACAAAGACCTTGGGGTCCCCTCCCAACTACATTTCATATTGACCATGTGCTGGGTTCCAACACACCCTATCTGTGTCATCTTATGCTCCCAATCTGTGAAAAGTGGATATAGAAGCTTCCTTTTAGGGCATATGTGTATTCCACATGAGTTAAAGTGCTTGGCACAGTGCATCAGTGGGTGGACAATAATGTTTCCACCTTCCTTTTAGACATACAATACAAAGTCAAAAACTAATCTGGACTGTGCCTCTACTGAAACTCTTGGGTCAAATGTTTATCCATAAAATGATAGCTTTAATGTCTGTTTTATGAGGCTTAATCTCAGGATCCTTTCAATGACCTCCTGCAGGTGAGCAGGAAGTGCTTTCTGTGTACACGCATGCATGTGAGGAAGCAATGCTCCTTTGCACCCATAGCTGACACAGCGGGAGAGACTCATGCCCAACATCTAATTTTCTAGTAGTTCAAAGCCTAGAACTAGCCATTACCAAATGACAGGTGTGGTTTCCTATCACATATGTTATTAAGGAAACTCTAAATCAGCCGTGTGATGTTTAGATTTCAGGTGCAGCACTAGGCCAGGTCAAGCCTAAAATAAACACAGACTGGTTTTGCATGTGTGGTTTTCCTCCAAAGTTAGGTCGAGAAAGTTGATTTCAATAAAGTCAGTTGAGCCATGGAAATAGATACTTGTGTGGTGCTTTGTTAGAAAGTCCTGATTCCCATAAACCAAACTAAAGATTATAATTAGGGTCTCCCCTGGCTCATGCCATGACTATTACAAATCCCGCCAGAATCTCCACCTGCTTCAGCTAGAACAGATACAAGTGGACATGGAGGGGAAGTGAGCACATCAAGGCATGGGTGAAAGGGTCCCATGGACGCAGGAGGGCCGGGACTGACGAGCCGGGAAAGCGGAATTCTGTCCACTGACTCCTTACACTCATATGGGAGCACCTTTGTTCACATGTGACACCATTGCATCCATTCATGTTATTTTCTTTTTATTGAACTCACTAAGTTATTATTCACTGTCAGTAACTTCAAGGGTTCATCATTTTTTGGACATCCAGATGTAATATGATTCAGTCTTTCAATGTTACCTAATTTTCTCTAAGCAACTATTCAGGTTTATCTTATAATAACAAAAGGGAGGCAGATGTTCCAAGGGTTGTCCCTTACCTCTCCCACAGTGACCACAGTGGCCTTCTTGCTGTTTCCCCACACATGCCAGACCCTCTTGTGCCCTGGATGTTTGCACCTGCTTACTCCCTCTGCCTAGAAGGTGCTTTCCAACATGGTGCATTCTCTGAACACCTTGAGATCATCAGTCAAATGCCACTACACATGGGCTTCCCCTGCAACTCTTTCTTTTCTCCCCTTTTGCACTTTACTTACAGGTAAAGGTCACATGTTCCTTTCTCATAGTCTCAAGTTTGCCTATTTGTTTTTTATTGTCTTTGTCTACTTGAATGAAGCTCCATGCAGGGACTTCTGTCTCTTGTTTCCTAGCACCTGGAACAGTGTTCAGCACACAAACATTTATTGAATGAGTGGGTTAATTTTTGTTAATCAGATGAATACCACCTCTAAGAAAATAACTCCTTGTTGTTTAAGTCATCATTGTTACCTAATATGTATTCATTCATTACAAAGATTCATTTTTCTTGTCTGGATTGGCTAAGTCTTCAGTCTTAGGGGAAATTCGCTAATATTCAAAGTATAGTATTAACCCTTGTCTATGAAAATAGGCAAAAGGCCTGAGTCCTCCTTTGCCCTTCCTGAGGCAAAGGTCACCGTCTGTGTCTTTACTAGTGATGACTAAGCCCTCCCAATGACCAGACTCTGACTCAGTTGCCTCCTATTGAGATGATTGCTTTGTGCTGCTATGATTCAAGTGTTTGCCAGGCTTATACTGATGCCAGCTGATTTGGGGCGGGGCTGCTGCAGGAGTTTCTTTACACTTGTCTTTCTACACAAACTTCAATCCAGGAGTAGCAGCTGCAGTCGCTTTGCCTGAGAGCTTGTCAGAAATGCTGAATCTCCAGCTCTGTCAGACCTCTAGAATCAGAGTATTCAGTTGGACAAGAGCCCTGGGGGATTCATGCATTTCATTTAGAGAAGTGCTACCTTAACACAAGAAGTTTTGTCTCCACACAAAGGACAATGCACAGAATCTAGCTTGAAGAATTCATGAGTAAATCTAACAGATATTTATTAACTGAGAATCTGCTATAGAAGACAATGGGTTAATAAATCTCAATGTAAAATTATACATTTTTGCCCAAGGAGTTGGATCCAACATTCAAAACATCTAGTAAATTAATACATAAATGTTTTATGTATGTTAGATCTACCAACATAATAAGTCATTCAGATATTAGCTCTAAATGTCTTTGAGTTACCCAGCAGGGGAATTTGGTCCTCACAACAGATACCAACATTGGGCAAGCTCATCTTTCATTCTCTCAAAAGAGTATGATAAATTTTGGCAGAGATTGTATCCTAGAGTTGGATATGATGTGATCAGTCTTCTTAGGACATTTAAAATAGTTAAACTAAAATATCTCTAGCATAAAAACAAAATCAAGCAAAGGAAACGAGGCAAATAATTATAAATATTCTCTGTGTGTGTCTCTCTCTCTTTTTTAAATCAGGGATGTTCTGCCATTTACCTTGAAGCTTCCTTATGCCATTTCAGCAGCCAAGACTGAGGCTCAGCTTGAAGAATTAGCTGAGCTGGGACTAAGTAAGTAGGTGCCCCGCCCCCAAGAAATGAATTCATGAACAGAGTCTAATGATAGATAGTTAAAGCAAAAAAAAAAAGAAGAAGAAGAAAGAAATTCCATCTCCATCACAAAACTCAGGTCCATTATCCCTAAATCATACTTTCTAGAGTCTTTTTCCAAGTCAAACATTGTGTGAGCTCTCCAAGTTCAGAGACTAAGTTCCTGAATTTCACATCTCCCTAGCTGCTCCCATCAATGAGTGTGGCTAGAATATTTCCAGGTCCTAATGAAATGTTGCTTTCTATGGCGTCAAGTTTTTTGTGTCATCATACTGGGGAAAGATGGTGCTTGGTGGAAAGGAAAAGTCAACATAGTATAACTCATGTGCCTTGGTTTTGATCTAGAAGAACACATGGATACTGAATGGCATTTGACAGCACAGGCAGAGGCACCTGTGTCTTACTTTCTCTTCAGTTATTTGATCCTAGACTTGTTGTGTGGCCCACATCCCTTACCCTACCATCGCACCTTTGCTCTGGCACTTGCTTCACAGCTGAACATTCACATTCCCTCTTTTTGGTGCCATAAACGTACTACTGTTCAACTGCACAGAAGCAAATGATGGACCATAACATACAGCTCTCCCAGTTTCACTTTTTTGTTCCACTGCCATGGAAATTCCATGTGAGTTTTTTTCGAAGGGTAGGAGGCAAAATTACTTCTAGATGAGGAAAAAAACTCGTGATCTTAGGATCTTTGTTTTCAAGCAGATTTGCAATCAGACCAAGGTATGTTAATAAACTTTGGGATTTACAAATGTCAAGATTTCTAGAATCTAGAAACTGACACTTAACCCAGCAAATAATGACATATGTGTTCCCTTTTTTTTTTTTGCATATTTTCCCCTTACACTTAATAACTTATTTTGAAGTGGGTAACATTCCTAAGAGAGCCTGTATGTGTAGAGCCTGTATTCACAGAGAAGCCTGGCAGCAGCTTCAAATGTCCTGCTAAAACATAGATTGCTTCAGAAGAATTGCCACATATTTCCAAGGCAGGTTGGATAGGCAGTTTGGTATAGGATTGTGGAAAAGAGTCTTGATAAAAATGAAATGGGTGCACTATACCTTGCAACAGAGTTTTATGTACATTTGGAGAGAATTTAAAACACATCTTAAATTTAAGTAAATATAATCACTAGATTGTTGGATTCCTTTTTGTTTTGTTTTGTTTTGTTTTTATTTGGGGGCCACCACTGGCAATGCTCCTGGATTACTCCTGGCTCCAGGGTTACTCCTGACTATGCACTCAGAAATTACTCCTGGCAGTTCTCAGAGGACTATGTGGGACTAACCCATGTCTACCATGTAAAAGGCAAGTGCCTTTTACTGTACTTTCTCTCCAGCTTGGATTGAGTGATTTTTAAGGACATGACTCTGAGTTGGGTGGTCAGTGTGCAGAGTATGTTCCTGCCATGGCTGATGAAATGAAGTACAGGGATAGCACTTTGCTCTGCAAAGATCAAGGGAAAAATAACTTTGAGCAACCACTAATCAGAACTAAATGAGGCCAAATTAATATATTCTTCTTGTAATGAGAAATTTACATATTTGCTCATTTGACAAACACAACTAGAGAGTTGGCACTGGACCCTGCATCAAAGGTTCAAACTTTAATAATAATGACCATCTTCTCTTCCTGTACCACTGAGGCTTAAGTCTATATGGAAGAAACATATCCATGTTAACCAATTGTTCTGTACCTTATAAAGCCTGTAGCTGTGGCAATAGAATCTAGGAAGATAGGCTAGAGAGACAGTATGGGAGATAAGGCATTTGCCTTGAATGTCACCTCACAGTTCTGTCTCCTGCAACACCTATGGTTCCCCGAGCCCTGCCAGGGGTCACTCCTAAGCACAGGGCAGGAACAGCCTCTGGGTACCTCTAAGTGTGACCCAAATCCCCTAATCCCCCACTCCCCAAAAGAGACAGAAATCTAAGGAGAACCAAAGGTAATAGGATCATTTCCACTGAGATCTATATTAGGAAATAGAAATAGATATAGGAAGTAGTAGATAATTTTAAATTTCTGGTCTCTGTAGCACTGTCCTCCCATTGTTCATCGATTTGCTCGAGCGGGCACAAGTAACATCTCACAAGAAATTGTGAGATTTGTTGTGACTGTTTTGGGCATATCAAATACGTCACGGGTAGCTTGCCAGACTGCCGTGCAGGCGAGATGCTCTCGGTAGCTTTCTGGGCTCTCTTAGAGGGGCGGAGGAATCGAAACCAGGTCGGCCTCATGCAAGGCAAATGCCCTACCCGCTATGCTACCACTCCAGCCCCTGATCTCTGTAAGCACTTTAAGCACTGTCTTCCCGTTGCTCATCAATTTGCTCGAGCAGGCCCAGTAACATCTCCATTGTGAGACTTGTTGTTACTGTGTTCGGCATATCGAATTCGCCACGGGGAGCTTGCCAGTCTTTGCTGTGCGGGCAAGATACTCTCGGTAGCTTGTCGGACTCTCCAAGAGGGGTGGAGGAATCAAACCCAGCTCAGCCAGGCGGGATGCGCGCAAGGCAAACGCCCTACCGCTGTGCTATCACTCCAGCCTTCAGGATGAGAGAGAGAGAGAGAGAGAGAGAGAGAGAGAGAGAGAGAGAGAGAGAGAGTGCAGCAGTAAGGTGCTTGCCTTCCATACTGCAGGCCCTGGCCCAACCCAAACAGCACGGCATATGGTCCCCCAAGTGCTGCCTGAGTGATCCCTGAGCACTGTTGGGTGTGACCCCTCCCCTCCAGAATTTCTTGCCATTAAAGAAAATTTTAAAATTATTTCCTCCAACACACTAAGTAAATTTCTATGCCCCAGTGGCCACAGGTAACTCTCAGCTGTGGTGCTGGAGAGCCAGGGCTCACAGTAGGAAGAACAGGAGCACCAGCATCAGAGCAGGTGACAGAGCAGTGGCCGGGCACTGGCTCCCAGCTTACACCTCTCCCCAGCGCCAGAAGCTGCCGCTTCAGCCCTTGGGGGAAGCACATTTTAGCAAACCCCAGTCAGACAAGAGCCTCATCCAAGTGGAAAGGGCAGCAGACGTTTGTCATCCCACTGCCTTCCTGGACTTGCTGGGAAAAGAGACACAGCTGTAAAGTGCACAGGGCGTGTGGACACAGTGGGCTCTTGATCTCACACTTAACATTTGCCTAAATTTCACACACACACACACACACACACACACGCCACCTGTTTTTTTATGATGACGAGACCGATAATTTTCCTCCTTTTGAGGTTTTCATATGAATATGTAAAACTTAAATTGTGCAATATCCTTCCCCCCCCCCCCCCCCCCCCCCGCATCCTCAGGCCCAGCTTTGGGTCCTGCCTGTTAAAGGGGAACAGTAGGTTGGGGGCAGAGAGACACTACAGCGATTAAGATGCTTGCCCTGCATGCAGCCGATCTGGCTTTGATCCCAGCACCCCATGCCTTGTCAGAAGCAATCCCTGAGTGCAGAGCCAGGAGAAAGCCCTGAGCGCCGCCGGGTGTGCATCCCCTGTGCCACCAAAAAAAGAAAAAAAACGGGGGAGGGGAGAATATTTTTTAAATGGGATTGTAGAGTCCCTAGCTGGTGCACACCCCCACCAGAAGTTGATGAAAGGGTCTTGCTTTTGAAGGAGACCCAGAATTTTTGCAAGATGGGAGCTTTTTCTATGACTTTCCCAGTTAATCCTGCCAGGACGATTTACGATTTCAAGTTCTTTTATCCTTACCTGGAAAAGGCTCGGCTGGAGTTCCGTGTTAGCCAAGTCATTTGTCCAGGACTTTTCTTTTCTCCCGCTTTTGGGTCACACCGGCGATGCTCAGGGGTTACCCCTGGCTCTGCACTCAGGAATTACTCCTGGCGGTGCTGGGGGGGGGGGGGGGGGGGCGGGGGAACCATATGGGATGCTGGGAATCGAACCCCGGTCAGCTGCATGCATGGCAAGCGCCCTACCCGCTGTGCTCTCGCCCCAGCGCCTGTGCAGGGCTTTGTCAGTGAAATCCCTGGAGTCCCCCTGGAGCCTGTTGCCCGGTCTGGCAGCATTACCCCCCCCCCCCTTTCCAGTGAGGAAATTCCAAAGTTAGGAGCCTAGCAGGGCCGGGTGCAGCGCCTCCCTTCCCTGCCCGAGGACGCGCGTTGTCGTGCTGGGGTGCTGTTTAATGTGTGCGGGGCGGCCCGAGTGTACTGTATTTACATTCTTGTGTTCACTGATAATGACTTTCAGATTTCTGGAGCTCTCCAGCTGACAACAACCCCCCCAACCCTCCACCTCCCCCTAGGCCTGTCTCCGGCGCCGTGCGCCCCGCGGCGCGCCAGCTCTGCCTGGTGCATGGACTGCACGGCCTGAGGACGCGCGCGCCCGCGGCGCTGGAGCGGGGCCGGGGCGGCGGGGCGCTGTGCTTCATCAACCCGCTCTTCCTGGAGGTGCACAGCCGGGACCCTCCGGGGGACCCGCATGGCCCCGCGCCGCGCGCGCCCCCGCCGCGGCCCCCGCCGCCCGCGGTCCCCGGCGGCAGCGTGCCCGAGACCCCCGCCGACGTGCCCGGGACCCCCGGCAGCGTGCCCGAGACCCCCGCCTGCACGACCGAGACCCCCGGCAGCATGCCCGGGCCGGCCGGCAGCGTGCCCGAGACCCCCGACGGCGCGCCCGAGACCCCCGACGGCGCGCCCGAGACCCCCGACGGCGCGCCCGAGACCCCCGACGGCCCTCATGAGACCCCCGATGACCCGCCCGAGACCCCCGGCGGCGCGCCCGAGGCCCCCGCCCCGCTCGGCACGGCCGGGCCGCGCGCGCGCGGGGACGCGCCGGGCAGCCGAGCGCCGCCCGTGCCGCCGCCGCGGCTGAAGAAGCAGGCGTCCTTCCTGGAGGCGGAGGGCGGCGCCAGGGCCCCAGCCGAGACCCGGCCGCGCGCGGGCACCGCGGGCAGCGCGGGGGCAGCCCCGCCCGCCGCGGAGGACGGCCCGGGACCGCGGCCCCCCTGGCACGGAGGCGGGCAGAGGCTGAGCGACATGAGCATCTCGACGTCCTCCTCCGACTCCCTGGACCTGGAGCGCAGCATGCCCTTGTTCGGCTACGAGGGGGACACGGCCAGCAGCCCGGAGGACTACGACGGGGAGAGCGACCAGGAGACCATGGCCCCACCGCTCAAGTCCAAGAAGAAGAGGAGCAGCTCCTTCGTGCTGCCGCGGCTCGTGAAGTCGCAGCTCCGCAAGGTGAGCGGGGTGTTCAGCTCCTTCCTGACGCCCGAGAAGCGCATGGTCCGCAGGATCGCCGAGCTGTCCCGGGACAAGTGCACCTACTTCGGCTGCCTGGTGCAGGACTACGTGAGCTTTCTGCAGGAGAACAAGGAGTGCCACGTGTCCAGCACCGACCTGCTGCAGACCATCCGGCAGTTCATGACCCAGGTGAAGAACTACCTGTCTCAGAGCTCCGAGCTGGACCCCCCCATCGAGTCGCTGATCCCCGAGGATCAAATAGGTAAGTGCCAACTTGAGCGCACTCTCTCTGCTTTAGCGCTCTCTCTCTCTCTCTCTCTCTCTCTCTCTCTCTCTCTCTCTCTCTCTCTCTCTCTCTCTCTCTCTCTCTCTCTCTCTCGTTTTGGGTTACACCCAGCGGTGCTCAGGGCTGGTTCTGAGAGATCATTCCTGGCAATGCTCAGGGGACCATCTGGGGTGCCAGAGATAGAACCCGGCTGTGTGCAAGGCAAGCACCCTACCCACTGCACTAATAATGCACTAATGCTCCAGCCACCTCGATCTCATTTTTAAGTAGATAAATTACCAGAGGCCATCAGGAAAGGGCTCTTTGAATTGCTTCTTTGGGATGAAGCTTTCTCCAAAGATCAGAAGTGGCCAGTCTTCCACCCCGCTCCTAACTGAGTGGAAACAGCTTCTCGCTGTAGACCTCGCTTCCCAAAAAGAACTGCTCCAGCCCCGGCTGGGCCGTGTTTGGGGAGCCGCTGATTCTAAACTGCAGAATGAGCCTTCACAGGGACTGTGCTCTGTGTGTGCCATTCTATGGAGCGTTTCCTTAACGTGGGTCTCCTATATTTGTGTTCTCTCTCGAGGCAGCGGGTGTTTGGTGTTGCTGGGTTTGGGAAGTAAAGTTTTTATCTAGGTGCAGTGGGCTGTCAGAGAGCTGCAGCCGTGGACAGTGGACACATCAGTATGTTGAGCTGCACTCAGGAAGCCTAACTTGACTGGCCTCCAGGAATCCTGTGGGGATACTCACCCTATGGATCTTCTCCTTGGGGAACTCCCCACCCCCACTGCTTTGAGTCCCACAGAATTCAGTAAGAGACACTATTTTGGAATCATTCTTACCTCCACCCCACACCACGGCCAAAAATAAAAATAAAACGGAAAATGTGTTTCATGTAACTTTAATAGAAGTGACTTGGACTGCAGATCACGTGGAAGGTGTTTTCTCCAAAGTCCAGAACATAAATACTTTCTCCATAACCTCACTAAAGGGTTGGTTGGTTAATAGTTGCTGTAGCAAGGAAAATTTGAATGTGGCAAATCCTCTTTTTTCCAGGGCAAGAGTACTAAAGGGATGATGGGGCTGTGTGTGTGTGTGTGTGTGTGTGTGTGTTGGTGTTGTTGTTGTTTTAATTTCAGGTTGACACTAAAGGCTCATTTCAAGGGATCTCATTCACTAGGGAGCAGCAGCCAAAAGAGCTACCAAATATTCTTAAAGTGATATCCAAATGTCTTCTTTTTGCTTGGGTTAGTTTGGTGAAAGTAGTAAACAGTGTGTGGTGGAGAGTGGACTCTCTCTCTCTCTCTCTCTCTCTCTCTCTCTCTCTCTCTCTCTCTCTTTCCCCATCCCTCCCATCTCTCTCTCTCTCTCTCCCTCCCTCCCTCCCTCATTCCCTCCCTCTCTCCCTCCCTCTTTTTCCCCCCTCCTCCTTTAAATGAGTTTCAGCAGCTCTTTGATTTTTCTCACAAAGGAATCAAAGCCTTGTTTGTTTTCTTGTGGTTTGAGCTGGGTTGGATGGGGCGTGGTTAGAGCGGGTGTTGCTGAAGAGAGGGGCTGGAAGGAATGTGCCCTTGGATGTGCTCTGGAATTGAAATCGAGACTTCCAAGAGAAGGCACAATAGCCACGCAAGCCACCTCTTTCCCTGTGCCCCCAGATCTGTGCCTCCCAGGGGAGAGCAGCACAGACTTAACCTTTACAAGAACCCCTAGACCTGCAGGACACACTTCTTGGGGGCCAGGCAAGGAAAGCAAGGCTGGAGCTGATGTCAGCCGTGAACTATGTGCTGTGCTGCAGCAAGCAGCCCACAGAGGAAGGCGTCAGAGGCACAAAGCCGCCCAGCCAGCCCGGAGCCTGACCCAAGTGAGGTTCAGAGGCAGCACTTGGTCTGAGAGCACCAGGGCTCATTTTCTTTAAAAAATAGACCAGCAGAGGCTTTGCTGCTGCTACCAACTTCAAATCTAAGGTGATTGCTAGGAGGCAGACAGCTGTGGAGCTCCTCATTCAAGACAGGCAACCGTCCAAGTGACTTGTGTGGGACCTGGCCTTACCTGCTAAATAAAGCAGCTTTCTGTGTCACGAGGAAGACAGTGGGATTTGCCAGGTGGAGCTGTTTGTACCAAGGTCACAGCAGCTAAGGACTGTCTAAAGACTTTGCATTTCTGTTGCAGTATAATCAAAGTCTTTGTTTTTCTAACCTCACCCCTCGCTGCAGTGTGCATTCAGTAGTGTAGGGAATTGGAACCACAAGTTCAACTCTCTCTACAGCTGGACTAAAGCTCTCTGAGGAGCTCGGGATTCCCTTTCTAAGCCATGCCGCATTCTTTGTTGGCTTGGTTCTTTTCTTAAACTTTCACATTAAAGCAGGCTTTTCATCTTATCTATCCCTTCACCAGTATAATCATAATCCTCTTTTTAAAGTACAGTGAACTTCAAAAAGTGTGGCATGGTACTTACTGGGCTTTTCAAACTAGGAGGAAAGTGTGTCAGAGCAGTAGAGAGGCTGACGGGAAATTCATTACAGACCTTACCGGAAGGAAAGGAGCGACTCTTAGAAAAACAATCCCTCTTAAATTGTGCTGATCACTAACTGAGTATTCTAGTAAAAAAATTGATTTATTCTAGCTATGTTTTGTATATTCTTAAATAAAATATTCCTTCGTTTACTAAATCTTTGGTAATGAAGCAACTCCTTTAAGTCTTGCAACCAACTCAAGGTTGGCACATTTGTGCGTATTGTTTATTTTTTGGAAGTTCAGAAATAGAAGCCAGGCAGGATATGTAGAGTGACTTGCAGAAGGATTGCTGTAATTTGGAGAACCTGGATTCAATCTAGATCTTCTCCTCAGTTGTCTACTCACTCCCACCATGTCTCACTTCCTGGGAGGATGTAATTCACATTAAATTTCATCTCCAGAATCCCAGTAGTCAAATTTGTCGCTCACAGATGGCCACTAATATTCTAAAAGCATTTCAAGAATGCCAGTTGGGGTTTTCTGTTTAAAAAAAAAAAAGCTGTGTTTGTCCTTTCCCATAATTTCTGAAAGGGGATCTGGGATTTAAATTTAAAGCCTAGATTTATAGAATGTGCATCCTGAAATTAAGGGAATTAGAGTTAGAGGAGGTATTTTATTGGCTTGTTCCCTTTAGAATTAAAACTAGCTTTCATATGTGAAAAATGGCCATCTCATTGTCTGCATATCCCTTTAGTATATATGGTTAATTTGTCTTCTTCAAAGAGTGGTTCATCAGTTGCCTAGAGAAAAAACAACTGAAAAAAAAACAAAAGTTCTCAGCCATCTAACACTGACTTTCCTTGCTACTGCTGCAGCTCTTCAGATCTGTACTTTCTAGACCATTAAAGATAAATTTAATCTCAAAAATGAAAATTGCAACCCCAGGTGGTTGTATCCCTATTAAGGATAATTAAAAATACTTCTACCCCAAACCTGCCATTTAGAAATTCCTTAATAAATATTTATTAGTACATGGACATCAGCTTAACTCTCTTGATCAGAGAATGAAGTCAGAGAGAGTAAATGTGAGTTTTCATGCTAGCCAGTTCTTTACATTCCAGGACCACAAATTAGACATGGACAGCTATCCGCCCACTTTCACTTTCTGCCCTCAGTTCCAGTGTGGTGCATAAAATAAACAGATATTTTAACAGAAAAGACAGATTTTGACTCCTACTTAAAGCCCTGGGATTAGTAAATTCATAGATAAATGAGGTTTACTCATTACTGTGTTACAACCTGTAAAGTAGAGACAGGATATATTATTCCCTATTCCAACATGTGTTCCCACTGGGAATTTTCATGTCCTGCCATTTTTGTTTCTGTCTTTTTCAACCAATAAGGAAAAACTAGCCCAAAATTTGTGGTTAGTGAAATCTTCATTTTGCAGAACTTGCTGCATTCTTGTGGTTAGTATTTTTTTATTTTATTTAAGTTAGTATTTTTTATTTTAATTCTGGTTTGATATTAATCTTGGAAAAATCCCTTTGTTTTCTAGTCTTCAACTGAAACAAAATTTCTCCAAAAGTTCTCATTCAAATTCCAAAAATGCTCATAATTCTATATTTCATTCAACAGTTTACCACAGATTATCACAACAATGCAAAAAAGTCAACTATTTGATTGTTAAAAATCAATAGACGTAAATAAGACTGATATCTTGCTTTCCCTAATTTCTGCAAACTAAAATGAATATTTTAATGAGTATTTTGATAATTTTAAGAGTATTATTTAACTTAATTCCATTTTAATTTCAAAGGGAATATTATTTTACATTTACATGTGTAGGGGTTTATTAGTTTTTTATAGAGATATGATACTTGAATGTGGTTACACATCAGTGACCATAGCATGAATAAGAAAAAAAGATTTGAAGTGATTCTCTAAGAATGAAAACAATTAATTTTGAAGTCTGGCTCATACTTTAGTATCTGGTTTGAATTATTTTTTGCTACTTTTAGATAAAGAATCATTTTAAGAAATATGACCAAAGAGGTATGTTTATGCTTAGGAGAGATTAAAACCTTGACTGATTTCTATTCTAGCCTCAGATCACCTGGAAGAAGAAAATGTCCTCTTACAGCCAACAAGTATAGAGAAGGGTAGGAAGTAACTTCTTGCAGCATACAAAAAGACTGGTCATATTCTTTTCTAAATAATATTGATTTTGTTTTAATTTATTATTATTGCTAATAATACTATTTTAGTTTGAGGTCCACACCCAGCAGTGCTCAAAGGCCACTCTTGATATGGTATTGGGATTCAAATCCTGGCTTCCATCATGTGAAGCATATACTACAGCCCTTTGAGCCATCTCCCAAGCCCTTGAAATTTAGTTTAAATAGAAGATTATAACAAGATTCATCTTCTCCTCTCACACACGGAATCAATTGTTGCATAATTTCTACATCAGTATTGGATTACTTATTTTATAATTAAAATAAATTTATTTAATTAAATAAAAGTGGTTCAGGGGCTGGAAC